TTGGAACTGTCGATGGCCATCTCCCTTTCTCCCTCGCATGTCTGCTTGTACATACGTATAATTTCAGAACTTACCGTGCATGCGATCGTTTACAACATGGTGGACCGTGCGTATGTCACGAACCTTGTATACATGTGTTTCTCTCCCTCCGTCTGGCTGTGCACGCGCGCGTTGGGCACTGAGAGTTAGGATCATAGCGCCATGAGTCTATGAGCAATGCATGCGTCATCCTTGGGACTGTATAACATCAGTGTAACACATGTACTTCTGTAATCGCATCCCCACGAATTTGCCCCAAAAATGTGACCAACTATCTTGGCACTGCGTACCATCTCACGTGTACCGTGTACCACATCATATGTAACAGATGTGATCAACCTCTGTGGGTGTGTACCCCACGCCAGTGTAGTAGCCAGGGTCGTCCGCACGCCACGAAGTGAAGTGTCCCAACGTCATAGGGCGGGAAGCTGGGTGTGGGTGGTCTCGAAGAGTCGTTTGGATATTTGGTAGAGCTTGAACGGCCCCCCCACGAAGTGGGGGTATTGGCTGGTGTCGCAAGAAAACCCTGGCACTGGGGAGAACACTGAGCGTTCGGGTAAAATGATTGTTGTTGTTGTTGTTGTTGTTGTTGTTGTTGTTGAACATTATTTCTTCTAAAGAATAATTATTGTTGGGGCCCCTGGTGCATGGCCCCCCCGCCGCGCCTAGGCCGCAGCCACATTTTCATCATTTTCGTGAGGAAGTCTCAGGTAAAACGATGTGATCCAGATCCGGTTGTTTTGTTACGCCCGCTTTCCCTTGCAAAAAATAAGCTAAAGTGGACATTTCTTGTTCTAACATAACCAAACTTCAAGAATCCCTTGCAAAAAATAAGGTAAAGTGGACATTCGCGCGCGCAAGACGAAATCCTTCCAAAACCTTAGTTTTCGTAGCGATTTTAACATAAAAACATCAAAAAACCAATGGTTTTTCAAAAACAAAGTGTCAAAATTTCATCCGCGCGCTCTTGCGGATTCGTAGGGAACCCAACACTTTTTAAACATTTCTGTCAAACGGGCTTTTGCGAGCAACTTTTTCGAACTTCTGCAACAACGGTTGCGCACCTGCCAGGGCCATCATCCCTGTCAAATAATATCGGGCCGGGCGAAAGGGGGGGATTGGGAAAGGGGGGGTTACGGAATTTGCTGCATGCAGCTGGTTTCGGCCTCACCGAGGGGCCCATTCCTCGATACATCGCCGCCTCCGGCGCCGGGAGGCGCCGGGAAAATCAGCTACGTGAGCTGATTCTCAAACCTGCCCTTTGCTATCCCCCCCTTTCGCCCGACCCGATAATACCATGCGGGACACATTCGTTTTTTCTTCGCGCGCGCACGCCGTCGTCGTCGGCCGCGGGGCCCTGAATAGTAGCCACGGTCGTCCGCATGCCACGAAGTGAAGTGTCCGAACGTCATAGGGCGGGAAGCTGGGTGTGGGTGGTGGCGAAGAGTCGTTTGGAAATTTGGTAGAGCTTGAACCGGCCCCCCCACAAAGTGGGGGTATTGCCCGCCTCCTATGAAAACCCTGGCACTGGTGAGAACGGAGTGTCCCCACGTGCTAGTAATTGTTGTTGTTGTTGTTGTTGTTGTTGTTGTTGTTGTTGTTGTTGTTGTTGTTGTTGTTGTTTTTGTTGTTGTTGTTGTTGTTGCTCTCTCTCTCTCTCTCTCTCTCTCTCTTTGTCTGCCAGTGCTGCGCGCTGCCTGCCCGCTGCCAGCCAGACACCGACGGCGGTGAGTGGCAAGCCTAGCGCATTGCTGTTGGCGGCAGGGCACCATTTTTTGGGGGGCCAAGCCGCGGCCGCGCCGCGGCGCCGGTTCCTGCGCTGCAGTATTCTGAATGTTACTCAGAGGTAACGTTCGGGGGGATGGACTCAGGGGGGATGCATCGACCCGCCCATCTATCGCTGATATGGGCTCGTTGTCATTGGAGGGCAACTCACCTCGAATCCAATATATTCGGCGCTTGCGACGCCGTCCTGGGCGTGTACCAAACGGCCCTGCCCTGCACGATTCCTCCCTTGGGAGCGTTTGCTACACGGATTCGCTCGTCGGGGTGCTTGATGTGAGGGCGGGTTTCTTGTGCTCTGCGATAGACCACCCCGCCCAGGAGCAGGGCTGGACCTAAACGGTGTTTGCGATTTCGCGGGCCGTTTTCGTTTCGACTTCGTTTTGCGGTAATTGCGGATTGAAGACAAGACGAGGGAAACCGAAAACAAAACGAAAACGAACAACAGTTTACCTGCCCAGGAGTATGCAGCTTCGCTATCGGGGGCCTATCGCCGATCCGTCGGCGACGTATCGCCGATTCAAGGTCGACGGCTTTCCCCTCCGAGCCAGTCCCCCCCCATGTCGGGCCCGTCCTCTACAGGAATAGCATGGGGACTCTTTTTCTTGTGTTGCTTGACCAGTTTGGGGTATTCTGGGGACATGTTTATTTATCGTCGAACATCTTCCTGTAGGGGGACACGCCCGACTTAACCCTATCGACCCCCTAAGTTCCCCCCTGTCGCCCCCCACAGGTCGGGAGGTTGACGCTTGGGCGGCAGGTCTTCGCTCTGCTCAATATTTCTTCTTGGGCAATGCCTCTGCGCCCCCCTGGGGGTCTCTGCCCCCCCCCCGCCCGCCCGCCCTGTCGACGTCATCCACACACACACACACACACTGCGCCGTGAAGACGTGGTGATGACCGTGCTCCTCTCTCCTGCGTTCGCCCGTGCTGCCTGCATGTGCCTGTACTGCTGCGCCCACCATGAAACATAGTGCTTAGAATTTCAGCTGATCAGACAGATGTAGATCTTGCACACTGAACTTGGTCCTTTCAATGCTGCTCTTTTGAAGCATGCCATTTTCCGTTTAGCATTTTCGGATCAGAGGGTTTGTAATCATTGTTTGTGTATTTCGTTGTGTTCCAACCACAGCGGACCATATGAACTATTGACCAAGCATGACCGCGAGGAGCGTTTGATATGGAGGAACAACATAGTTCTGTCATAGTGGCATGCCGCCAAGCCAACACAAGCGCACGAGTGCATTTGCTAATCGAATGGCCTTCGGCCCATCCCGCCACCGTGTTTGGGTTGTGGGTCATGGGCCTCTGGGGATGTTCGTGGGGGTGTCGCGGGGGCCTCTCGGGTGCCTCTTGATCGCCGCTTGGAGGCGATGCCTCTTGGGAGCCGTTTTGGGGCCTCGTGGACCGTCTTGAGGGCCTCTGGGGGATATCTTCGGGCCTCCTTCGGGCCTCATGGCGCCTCTTTGGGGCCTCCTCGGGGGCCTCGTCGGGCGGAAGGCTTGGAATTTCTGTTCAGGTCCCCGCTCTTTGGCCCTTCTCGGGGCTGCCTTTGGGCCCTCTTGGCCCCTCATGGGCGCCTCTAGGGCCGTCTCGGAGCCCTCTTGGGCCGTCTGTGGGCCGCTTTGGCTGTCTTGGGGCGGTCTTGGGGACCTCGTGGGCCGTCTTGGCGCGTTGGAAGCTCGAACACTTCGAGTACACCAAAACACATCGAACAAGCATAGGAGCATTCATGATTTTGGCTCTTGGGGCTCTCGTGGGTCGCCTTGAAAGCCTCTTGGGCCGTCTCGGGGCCCTCTTGGGCGCCTTGGGCCGACCGTGCGGCGATCCGGGACCCCCTTGGGCTGTCTTGGGGGGCCTTCCTGGGACCCCGAAGAGGTCACGCGACAGGACGCGACGGGCCCTCGGGGCCACGCGGCGCGCCCCAGGAGATTTATAGCAATCCTGGGTCGGGCCCCCCCAAAGAATTCGCAGAGTTGGGGAGTGCAGCTCAAGGGATGCGGCCAGGGACCTGAGGGGCACTCCAACTCGTGCCTGAAGGGCACGGTGCCGGATCTTTGGGGGCCAGCAGATTCAACTGGCTTGTGGCGGGGGCGAAGAGGTTGCATCTTGGAGCCGCGTGTCTCCAATTCATTCGCCCCTCCTTTCATCATGTTTCACAGCTGGCCAGCTGGCCCACACTCGATCCACTACCGATTCAGATTTAGGCGACGCAGGGAAACGGCGTCGACTTCGTGGACATTTGCGCCTGAGAGACTCGCGTAAGCTCGCGCGTACGCCCCATCTATTCCTCGCGGCGTGTCGCGCTGGCGATCTACGTACATGAGCCATCGCGTACAGTCTTAGCTTCTTCGCGCAAGCTTGGGGGCTCCTTTGGGGGCTCCTGGGGGCCTTTGTGGCACACTTGGGTGCGTCTTGGAGCCTCTTCGAATCATATTTGAGAGTTGGCTTCCAGCGGTGGGACACTGGTGTGCTTTTTTGGCTTCTCTTTGGGATCTCTTGGGCCCCCTTCGAAGGGGCGTTCAGGGGAGTTCTTGGGTCGCCTTGGAAGCTCTTGCGACCGATGCGGCGATATGTCCAGATCACCCAGCACCCTTACGGATTCAGCAGATTTGGGCCTGGGGCGACCCTTGGGACCTCCAAAGCGGCCCGCGAGACTCCCAAAAATTGTTGCGGATTCTGAGGTTGCAACCTCACGTGTCTGTGTGGTAACGCACGACGTCTTATCGGAGACGCCTACGGCGAGTCACCGCCGCCCCCTGCTTTCTAGAATCGCCCATGTGGTCGAGCGTTGTGGCAAGAGCTCTGCCAAGCTATCGGACCATGTGTTCTCCTAACCGTTGTGGAAACCATTCGGGGAATACTTGTGGGAGGATGGCGGGGAAGACCAGAAGCAGGCAGAGGACGAGGTGGAGGAGGAGTTGGAGGAGGAGGGGGTATTTTGGGAGCCTCTGGGGACACTCTTGGGGCCTCCTGGGAGGTTCCTGGGAGCCTCTTGGAGGCATTTTGAGGGCCTCATGGGGTCTCTCTGGAGTCTTTGGGGGCTTCTCAGGGGCCTCTTTGGCCGTCTTGGTGGGCTCCTGGCCAGTTTGACGCCCCGCCGCTGGGGGGGTGGGGGCTCGCGGCGGCCCCGCGCGCGCGCGCGCGTGGAGCACCGGGCGGCCCCCCCTCCCTTGCAGGGGAGCAGATGGCGGAGGTCGCGGCGGACGAGGTGCCGCAGGCCGAGAAGGACGCGGGGGGGGGGCCACCTGCGGCCGCGGCCGCGCACCGGGGGGTGGGCACCGTCGTCGCCGTCGTCGTCGTCGTCGCCGCCGTCGTCGTCGTCGTCGTCCTCCTCCTCCTCCTCCTCCTCCTCCTCCTCCTCCTCCTCCTCCTCCTCCTCCCCCTCCACGTCGGGAATCGAGGATCGAGGTTGTTGGACGTTCTGGGCCCCTCTTGGTGCGAGCCTGCTCGCCATGAAGGGGGCGGAGGTGGCTGCACAAGGAGGGGCAGCACGTGAGCGACGGGAGAAAACTCGTGGTCGACTGCGCCGACATTCGCGCGCCAAGCTGCCCGCGTAAGTTCGCGCGCAAGCGCCCTCTACCACGCGGTGTGCCAGGCTGGCGGCCCGCGTAAGCTGCGGCGTAAGGTCGCTGTGTCTTCTCTTGCGTAAGGCTCGTTTATTGTCGTCTCTCGTTTTTTGAGATGGGCGATTTCTCTCGCTTCGCGGGGTGCACGTCTGTAGCATGTAAAGACTGGGCGTTGGGTGGTTTGCCCTGCTCGTCTGCCGCGCTGTTCTGCCATGCCGTTCTGTCCGCCTCCTGGGCGCTGCTGGCGCCACGGGCAGCGGATGCGCCCTGGGGCTGTCTTCGGGCCATCTCGGATGCAGCTTGGGCCGTCATGGGCCCCCGAGAGTTGAACAAGCCGAGAACGCGAAAATCCGGTGAACATCCAACGAGAAATCATTGTTTTTGTCCTCTAGAGGTGCTCGTGGGGGCCCCCTCGGGGCCCTCCAGGGAATGGGGCGCCGAGTCATTTATAATCGGGGTGTCCCCGCGCGAACGTGCCCATGGAGGCCGAAGGCAGAGTCTCCTGTGAGGCACGACCTATGTGAAGCATGCGCCGAAACGGGCAGGTGGAAGCCATGCGAAGTTGCCCATTTGTGCCATAAGTAGGTGGAGCTCCTTCTGGGGCACGATTCGCGCGAGGAGCATGCCGAAATGGGCCAGGGAATGATGCTCAAACCTTGTCTCCGGGGCTGTGGCTGGTGCGCCCTGTGGGGCACGATCGCACGAGGGGTGTGCGCGCAATGGGCGGGGGGGGCCCTAGGCGAACCCCGTCTCTGGGGCCGTCGGTGGAGCTCCCTGTGGAGCACGATGCGTGCGAGGCGTGCCGAAGCACGCGGGGGCTTGCCGCTACGCGAACCCTGTCTCCAGGACCGTAGGCGGAGCTCCCTGTGGAGCACGATGCGTGCGAGGCGTGCCGAAGCACGCGGGGGTCTGCCGTTGCGCGGACCCTGTCTCCGGGACCGTAGGCGGAGCTCCCCGTGAGGCACGATTCGTGTGAGAGGTGTGCCGACGCACGGGAGGGTCTGCCGCTACGCGAATCCTGTCTCCAGGGCCGTAGGCGGAGCTCCCCGTGAGGCACGGTTCGTGCGAGAGGTGTGCTGAAGTGAGCGGGGCGACGCTGCGTATGCGGACTCTGTCTCTGGGGCAGTTGGTGGAGCGGGGCACGGACCGTGTGAATCATGTGCCGAAACAGGCGGTGGGACGCTATTGATATGTATGACCACGACTGCGCAGGTGATCCCAAGTAGTGATCGTGGTGGGATGATGTGCTTGCCCATGCGCTGATTGGTATCACTTTCGCTATGCCTCGGCTAGAACCTTGCGCGTGAGGCGCGCTTGTGGTTTAGTTATGATGTGTGATCGTCGCCTCGGGGCAGCGCATCCACAGTATTAAGTAGATGGGTAGTGGTGTCGGGAGCGCGGATCCATTGTTGAGAGATCGTAGCTTCGGGAGCGTGGCCCATCCATTTTTGGTTACGAGAGATCGTGGCTTCGGGAACGCTGATCCTATGTCTTTTACGAGGGGAGGGGGGGGGTGCACGCAACTGGGTGTGGTGACAAGGGGAGGCCTTAGAGAATTACACAAGCCCTACCAGGCAGCACCTTGCATACTACCACGCCTCAACGTGCCAGGGGGCGCGGTGGCGGATGACGGAAGTGCGCTTAGTCTATCAAAGTTGCGTGATGGACGTTGGTGGTGAGCGGGAGGGGCAAATTTATCAATCGGGGATGTCACGGAGGGGACTGGATCGTGTCGCTCCAATGTACGCCACTTTTCGGATGGCGGGACGCGCGACTAGACAAGAAGAGTCGCGCGACGGACGTTGCTGCAGACCTGGCGGACACCATTTTTTCATTTGGGGGGTTCCAGGGGGGACTGGATGGGGACTCATTCCCCCCCTGAGCCCCTATTGGTCATGTTGTTTCTCAAAGTTGTGGGTGTTCACCTGAGGTCAGAAGCTCTAAATCAGGGTAAACGACACCAGTTGTTTTATCAATGTGTGTTGGGTCGCGTGTCCGATAAAGGCAACTTTTCAACATCGACCTTGGTTGGACAATACTTGTGTATTCTTCTTCATCCGTATGAGTCCCGAGCCCGCCTTGGCAAAGCAGTTGAGGTTCCTCCTCCACCTCGTATTTCTAACATCTCCTCCACTCCTCGTTCGCCCTTGTCGGCCGTAGCTTGAGTACCCCTCGTGGCACCAGGAGATGGTTCAAGGGGCGGCTTGGCAGTGCTTTTTTGGTACGATCCGTGTCCATTATTATTTCCCTATGGTCGGTCGGTCGGGGAGCGTGTGTCCATAGTTGTCCATTGTAGACGTTCGGAGAGCTAGCCTAGATCATGGGTGAATTTGTTGTTGTCGCACGCATTTGTCAATACATGTTCCCCCACATAAGCGTTTCGCCTGACATATCCTCTCAGCATGCAGATGTTGACGGATGTCTTTCGGGAAGCGCCTTGTTGACCGAAGGTGAGGCATTCGTTGTTGACATTCTCGTGAAATGGAGCGGTTGAAACCTTGTATCTTCAATTTTGGAGCTCTCGCTTGAGACACCTTCCAACACATAGGATGTTGAGACATGGGTTGTTCGATCCTTTCTGGGACATGTATCGGAGGACCCCAAAGACGGCGCAGTGAACTACTCATTGAGCATCAATGTGTTTTTGTCAACGTTTCTGTTTAATATCATGCATTTCGCCCGCGACATCCTCAACCATGGACGTCGTACGGGTCTTCGAACGTTTGAAGCTGCCTCTGGCAATTCTGCCACCGTGCCAGCGCAGCAGTTCGGGTGGCGACCGTTCGAGGGGGCACTGGGGGGCCGTCACGTGTGACACCTCGCGCTTCTCGAACGCCCTGGGGACCTGTTGGGTGCCTCTTGGGGGCCTTTTGGGGCCTCTTGGCAGCGTCTTTGGGGCGCCTCGGAGGCTCTCGGGCCCACCCACAGCCGGACTCGCGCCGAAGTTTTGACCCGAGCGCACCCCGCGAGACGCTCGGGGGGTTTGCAGCTGGCACCGAGGGCCAGGAGCAGTCCCAGCCTTTGGAGGAGGCACCATGGGGATCTTCGTGCTTGGGCTCTCCATCTCGGAGTGCTCTTCGCCGTGGGTGGCTCCACGGGGCCCTGGGACGTCGGCGGTGGGGCTCGTGCTCCTGGCCCACGTTTTCGGGGCCAGGTTTCGACTGTGGCGGTATCGCTATATCTTGGTTTCCCCAGAGGGTCCATGATCCTCAGGACGCGTGTCAGTCCAATGTTTCTTTCCCTCGCTCAGCTCTGCCGACAGAACGCAGCCTGCGTCAGCCTTCGTTGCTCCGCCTCCGACGTTCTGAAGGGCTCCGGTGGACAATCACACGCTGGCTGTAACCCACGCTCTGAGGATCATCGGGCGGAGAAGCGCGGGAGGGCTTGGGTTCGCGACCTCTGATTGCCGCCCCTCTTCCGCCGCCTGCGCGGGCCGCCGCGGGGCCCGCGCGCAGGCCAGCACACGTGGAAGGAGAGGAGGGGAGGGGGAAACAGGGGGGGGGGAGTCGGGGGGGCACTGGTTCTGGCCACCACGAAGGGCGGGCAGGTTCGAAGGTTCTGTGTTCGGGAAGGTGTTTTGCCTGATTCGGAATCCAGGGGCCGTTTTCGGGCCCGGGAGTCAGAAAAGCGGATCAGGGGTGAGAAATTCTAGACGCTGCGCGTATCCCCACCGGCCGCTCTCTTTTTTCCGGATGCCGGTCGGTACTCCACCTGCGGGTCCGGCCTGTTTTCTGTGGTTGCCCATCCGTGGCCGCCTCTCTTCCGCTGTACTCCGGCAGGGTACCCCGCTGTACTCCGGCAGGGTACCGGTCCGGCCCCACCTGCGGGTCCGGCCTGTGTTCGGAGGTTGCCCAATTGTGGCCGCCTCTCTTCCTAATTTGTTTTGCAGGTGCATTCCGCGCGTTCTCGCGCTAATTATCTTGCACTGTGCCCCAGCCTCGGTCATACCGCCCTTTGGACTTCTCTTTGCGGGCCGCAAATGAAAAAAAATCCCCACCGGCTCTCCCCCCCGTTCCGTTGCCGGTTGCCGCGCCTTTTGCTTCCCCACCAGCCGGGCTGTCTGGGCCGGTCACCAGCAGACGCTGACATGCGTCTCAATGAGGGGCATTTTGTCCCTGGCATGTGCATGCGCCACTGCGTGTGTTGTCCGCTGGAGTCTGCGGCAATCTCGCGCCAATTATCTACGTACCGCGCCCTGGACGTTGTACCCGCTCCATGTCCCTCGCCGTGGAGCCGCGAACCAAAAAAATACCCCCGCCGGCCATTTAATCTCGGCTTTTGGCCTGGGTCGTGAAGTGTCCCGACTCCCTGGTGTCCGATGCTTTGCACATTTGCACGCTGGCAGTTCGCCGCCGTTTCAGCTGTCCCCCCACCCGCCGGTCCGCCGCTGGGCTGCTGCGTGAGGGCTCGGTTTGCCGCTGTAGGTGTAGCCTCCCGCCGTCGCCTAGGTTAATTCGTCGCTGCGTGCCCCGCTTTGACTGGACTAGCCGCCGGCGCGCTCGCCCGCGGCCGCTGACTGAAAAATATCCCCACAGGCCCATCCAGAAGCGATGTCCAGGCAAGTTGAGGTGATCAGGGAAGTGCGGCAGCAAAGAGGGGGGCGGCCGTGCAAATGAGTAAGGAGGAGAAGGAGGGGGTGCATGGATGGATGGATGAGGGAGTGGGAAGAAGGAGGATAAATAGGAGAAAGAGGAGGCGGAGGAGGAGGAGGAGGAGGAGGAGGGGGAGGAGGAGGAGGAGGAGGAAGAGAAGGAGTAGGAGGAGGAAGGAGGAACAGGTGGAGGAGGAGGGCAAGCAAAAGGGCCAGAGGTCTCTTGGATGCCTCTCGGGGTATCTCTTGGGCGACTCTTGGTGGCCTCTTGGGATGTCTCGGGGGTCTCTTGGCGATCCTGGGGGGCTCTTCGGGGTCTTGGGTGCCTCGGGGGGGCCTCTTGGGGCCGCTTGGGGTCTTCTTGGGGGCCTCCTGGGGGCCTCTTGGGCGCCTCCCGGGGCCATCTCGGGGCAGTCTTGGGACCTCCTGGTGCCTCCTGGGCGCTTCTTAGGGCCATCTTGGAGGAGATCGATCAAACAAGAGGGGAGCTTCAATTAGCGTCCCCCCCCCAAGAAGCCAACATGTGGCCAAAACCATAGTGCAACCAATGATTTCGGCTTCCTCGTCGAGGCCGTTTCGGACGCTCCGACGACTCGCGGAACCCCCCGTCCAGGTTCAGGGGAGGGGGTAGGGGGAGGGGCAAACCCCTCCCCGAAGGGGAAGAAAGAGGGGTGGAAGAGGAAACGCCCTAAACCACCGACGCCCAGAGGGCTGGTGGGATTGCACCAGACGGACCCCGGGAGGGGTCTGGGGACCGATTTTGAACGGATTTGGCGTATCTCCCCCTCCTGACCGATTTCCCCTGGTCCCAACCTCACCAGGCGTGTTCCCCTACTCTCAAAGTGCCTACTCGCAAACGTCCAGAAAGAATATGTCTTCCTCTATGCAACGTATCGTGAATACCCCGCGGCGGATCCAGGAGTTTGCGAGTAGCTACTCTGCGAGTAGTGGAACGCGCTTGTCGACAACCAGTGCATACCCCCCGGCCGCCTCCAAGGGGGAGGAGGGAGGGGCCGGTGGGGGGGAAGGCGCGTCCTTTTGTTGGCGATGCGGTGGCGCTGCGAGATCCAGATGCTGGCGTGCTAAGACTGTGTTGCACCACAGTGCCGACTGCAGTTTTTCAAAGTGGGCACGCATCAGTTGTCTGCACGCTCGCCTCTCTTTGTCCTGCTTCCTCTCCTCCCTCCCTCCCTCCCTCTCCTCAGCGCCGCGGTGCCGCGCTGGATGCAGGCAGATTGTAATTAAGCTTTGTTGCCGACGCGCAGCTGCTGCTGCTGTAGCAGCTGCGTGTTTCGCTCTTGTTTCTGCTGGCCCCCGAGTGCAGCACTGGCCAATGACGCCCGGCGGCCCACTTGGGACAGTTCTTCTGGAAGGTCCAGGCCATTTGGATTCTCTTCGATGCCACTGTAGAGCTGACGCTAGCGTCCCTCTTGATCCGCCGTTGCACTGCCGTGTTCGTTTAGCTTTCGATCATCGGCGTTTCAGCGCCTTGCCGCAAGAAAGGTTGATTCGAACTCCTTTCTCCTCTCTTTCCTCCCGCGCTTGCCTCTCGGAGGCGGAGCTCCAGCCAGCCCTTCAGGGTGGGCCGGCATTTCGCCTCCTCTGCCTGTCTCCTCTTCTCCTCCCCTTGCACGTCGTGGAGCGGAGAATTTTGGCCCAGGATGTTTTGTCCTTCGACGTGCGAGGGCGGTTCCAGTGCTACTTTGTCGAGGTCGCTTGGCTGTCACAGGTGTCGAGACGCTAGGCGAGGGCGTTTTTCCTCCTCCTTCCTCCTCCCTTCTTCTTTGTGTCTGCGAGTTTCATGGCTGTTTCGCTGCATGTGCATGTTTTTTTTTGGAGCGCGGTCGGGATCGTCCTCCCGCTGCGCTGGCCCGCCCCGTACGCAGGCTGGCAGCTGCAGGGTAGCGGCGCCCGCCTTCCGCCGAGCTCCGCCGTCGGAGATCGCCGTTGGCTGGGCCCCTTCTGACCCTGTATCCTCTGTCGGCCCTAAACCTGTAGGCTGTGTGCATCGGGGTGGTGGGCTTGAGCTTGCACTCGCGGTGCTCCACATCTAGTGTCGGGTTGACCCCAAAGGGGGTCCAGCGACAAGGGGGTGGTGCAATAGATGTGGTGCAATAAATTTGTGGGGTTGCAATACATTTGGGGCGTGCAATACATTTCGGGGCGCAAATGTATTGCTGTATTTTCGCGTGCAATACGTTACCTGCAATACAATGCAATCCAATTCTCGGGCGCAGTACATTTGCAATACAGTTGCCCCAAATCTATTGCACCATCCCCTTTCAGCTGGACCCCCTTTTGGGCCACCCAAATACTTAGTAGCTTATACCTGAGCAACAACTATCGCAATGCGCGTCATGTATTAGCCTGCTCGCGGTTTCGGCTCCTCCGCTCCGGCATTGAGGTGTTCTGCAGGTTTTGCATGTTACGTGTCTCCGCCTTCCTCGTTCGCCCTCCTCCCCACTTGCGTTGGGCACCAGTGCGAGTCACGACATGATGGGCCCGTATGGGGTACGCAGGCGCGATTCTGCACTGTAGCCGCCATCTTCCTGATGTATCGCATTCGCGAGTTTAGTTTGCTTCTCTCGTTGTCCTCCGCTTCTCTTCTTCCTGCCTCTCTTCCCGCTGTCTCGACATTTGTTCGCTTGGAGTGGGGCTCAGAGAGCATGGACAGACTTTCAAGGTATCTCAGCTTTGGTATGGGCGCTTCCTTAGGTTGCACTGGTACCAGTTGCGACGGGCCGCGTGGTCATCCGTGCTGTCCGTTTCTCGTCCTCTCAGTTGTCCAGATGTTCTGTTGCTGGAAAATAGTATTGAGCCCAATCAAGATCGGCGCTGACGCACATCCGCCGTGGAGGGACCTGTGCGTTCCTGCAGGGAGGGAGGGAGAAGAGTCGGAGAAGAGGGAGGTAGGGGCTGACGGAGGGGGGTGAGGAGGCTGGTGAATGTCAGCGCTTGCTGGCGCCCAGGTGTCGCGGTGCGAGTGACCTAGTCTTGGGCATCGTGGCGCCCAGAGGCAGAACAATGGCGGGACGCGGGCAGAACACTCGAGCCTGGTTGTTCGATTCTCGAGGCTCCATCCTTGCAGCTGGATCTTTCAAGCTCGATCCAGGTACCTGGAGAATTCGTGAGCAGGAGGAGGAGGAGGAGGAGGAGGAGGAGGAGGAGGAGGAGGAGGAGGAGGGCGGATGAGAAGGGCGGAAGGAGATGTGCTGAGGCGCACGCCTGAGGGCAGGAGACAGGAGGATGAAGGTGGAGGAGGAGGAGGGCGGAGGAGGGCGGAGGCGGAGGCGGCGGAGGAGGAGGAGGAGGAGGAGGAGGAGGAGGAGGAGGAGGAGGAGGAGGAGGAGGTGGAGGAGGTGCAGGAGGAGGTGCAGGAGGAGGGAGGTGAGCTGGGGCCTCCAGCGCCCCGCCCCCCCCGTCCCACGTGCGTTCCGGGCGCGCTTGCGCGCCAGAGGACGAGCTCTTCTGCGCCTACGCGGCCATGATCCTCAAGGCCCGCCCTGCGCCGATGCGGGGGCCCGGGCCCCGTCGCGCACACGATGCGCTGCGCGGTAGTCGGAATGGTCGTGGTTTTTGTCGTCGTCACCGTCGCCGTTGTCGTGTCGTCGTTCTCGTCGTCGTTCTCGTCGTCGTTCTCGTCGTCGTCGTCGTCGTCGTCGTCGTCATCGGATCGGATCGGCTGGTCGCGGCTTCTTCGAGGAGCGGCGCCACTGCGCGGAGCCAGTGCACGTCGCCTTGGCAGTATCTTCTTCTTGGCGGTGTCGACAGGAAGGTCTGAGCAGGTTGTCAGCGGCCGCCACCGCCGCCGCCACCATCAATCGTAGGTTCGTCGAGGAGGGCGGGTGTCAGTCCAAGGTGGGGCCAGGGGACGGACCCAGCCAGAAACTCATATTTGCTTCTTCCTCTGCAGGAAGGTCCGTCGCAATGTCCACTGCTGGGATCAGTCTGGCTGGACTTCCGGTGTTGACAGAAGGTCCGCTTTGGACTCGGGAGGGGCTCTGGTTTTCGGTCCGTTCCTTAGGTGTACGTAGGTCGGGGAACCGATTCGTGGCCGAGGCTTGACTTGGCCAGAAAGGCCCCCGAAGAACCGCAAACCTGGATTAAGGCGCGTGCATCAGGACCGCAAGAGAGGCGCCGCAAGAGAGGCGCCGCAAGACAGGCGCGTGATTGGGAAAAGGGGCGCCGCAAGACCGAGGCGCACAGGATATGGGTGAGACCGAGCCTCTACAGGGCCAGTTTTTCAACCAGATCCAGTGCGCTTCGGGTTTTCGGGGAAGGGCACCCGAAACTCAAAGTTGCAGTGGCTATGGGCACAGCTCTTGCCCACATCGTTGCCCCATTCGTCCCCGCGGCAGGACTCGGAGCTCGACATTTCCGAGGAGAACCTCACCACCCTGATCAAGGCGTGGCCCCGGCAGGGCCCCCGGCCAACAGCCCTTTCGATGAGGACAATGAGGTGGATGGGAGTATTGCTTATGAAGATCAAGAAGCAGATGGGACTCAAGATGGTTTTGATGGTGATGGCGATACTGATGACGATGATGATGATGATGCTGATGCTGCTGATGATGATAATGATGATGCTGCTTCTGATGATGATGGTGCTGATGGTGATGATGATGATGATGATGATGATGTTGATGATGATGACCATGGTGATTATGATGCTGAGCGCGTAGTGGGAGGACACCCTGGTTTTGAAGTTTGACAGGTGAGAGCTGTTTATGTATTCGCTTTCTCCGCCGACGGACGCCAGTCGCCAGTGTGCATGCATGCAAGCTTGAGTTCATTCAGTTGTTTCCGAGGGCGTTTGCGGGTTTGGGGATCACCCGTTAGGAATCACCTCTACCGCAATCCATCATGTTTAGATCGCCCTCTGTGGTCTAGTTACGTATTGCTTCCCGTGCAGGTGGGGGAGGTCAATCATAATGGGTGACGATGTTGGCGATTAGGACGAAGAGGGGTAGGCGATGTAGTGCTGTTGATTGTCATTATGATGACGGTTGAGACGTTGATTGTGGTTGTCATGGTGAGACGGATGGTGGAGGTGGTAATTTCATTATGGGATTGATGATGACCTAAGTGCTCGACTTTAGGTGTCTCCCCCTTTTTTTTCCCCCAGATTCAAGATTGGTTCAAGCCCCACGCGAACCCTTGGAGAACCCACCCTTCTTGTCCGCCAGCGTGCTGTCCAAAGTCTACAGATCTTGGGTGCGGGAGGCGGCTGGGTTGTCGAAGGGGGCGAAGCCAGATGGGAAATTACTCACCGCCCATGGAAGACGCAGGATGACGATAAACATGATGATGACGATGACGATGACGATGATGATGACGACGACGATAACGATGCCGATTATGATGACGATGTTGGTGATGATAATGCTGATGCTGGAGAAGGCGATATTTGGGGTGATGCTGGTCAGGTTGATGATGATGGTGATGATGATGATGATGACGATGACGATGATGATGACGAAGATGGTGATGCTGCTGATGATGACGCTGAGGATGATGATGCTGCTGCTGATGATGCTGATGATGATGATGGCGATGGCGATGGCGATAGTCATGGTGATGATGGTGATGATGATGATGGCGATGCTGATGATGCTGATGACGATGATGGTGATGATGATGATGCTGATGATGCTGATGATGATGACGATGCTCATGTTGATGTTGATGCTGATGCTGATGCTGCTGATGCTGCAGATGATGTGATGATGATGGTGGTGATGCTGATGCTGCTTTTGATGATGCAGGTGATGCTCATAGTGTTTATGAGTTTGATAACGGTGATGCTGCTGATAATGCTGAAGAAGAACATGATGATGATGATGATGATGATGATGATGATGATGATGATGATGACGATGATGATGATGATGATGAAGGTGGATATGATGGCGATGATGCTCACAGCAATGTTGATGCTGTTGATGATGATTGTGGTGGCGGTGGTGCTCATGATGATGAGGATGATGAGGATGATGCCGATTCTGACGATATGAGGATGGCTGGTTATGGTGATGGTGATGATGCTGCTGATGCTGATGATGATGGTGGTGCTTATGATGCTGATGATGCTGCTGCTGATGCTGATGATGTTGATGATGCTGCTGTTGATGCTGATGCTGATAATGATGATGTTGTTGATGCTGATGTTGCTGATGACGATGATGATGATGATGATGATGATGATGATGCTGATGCTGATGATGATGATGATGATGATGATGATGATGATGATGATGATGATGATGATCATGATGATGATGATGATGATGATGATGATGATGATGATGATGATGATGATGATGATGATGATGACGATGCTGGCATGATGATGGCTGCTGCTGCTGATGGGGTGATGCTGGTGCTGGTGATGATGCGGAGGAGGATGAGGAGGTGGAGGAGGAGGTGGATGAGAGGAAGGAAGAGGAGGATGAGGAGGATGAGGAGGAGGAGCAGGAGGAGGGGGGGAAGGCGGAGAAGGAGGAATACCAGGATGAGGACGACGAGGGAGGAGCAGGGGAGGAGGATAAGGATCAGGAAGAGGAGGAGTGGGAGGTGGGGCAGGAAGAAGGGGCCTGGTTCGCCGCTGACCAAAGTGGCCTGCTGAGCGGCTGGTCGTTCGGGGGAGTTGCCGGCTTTTCGCGCTGCTCTGCCTGGGCGTTGTGCTCGCGTTCTCGTGCATCGCGTTGCTCGGATATTCAGTGTCGGCGTGCGTGGGTGCATGCTCCACAGACCTCTTCGATGCTAACTGGAGGCGGAGGTTCCCCCACGACAAGTCATTAGCCGTCAGCCGTCACAGGTTTTGAGCGGCTCCCTCGGGAAGGTTCCACTGGGCCTCCATGGTGCGCTGTTCAGAGGTCGACATGAGGGAAACGTGCCCCGAAGGAAACGGATCTTAGAGCCCGTGCGTTTCTTCGTGACCGCATCTTGGGCCTTTTGGTTTCCGATCCTGTGGCCAGGGGGGGCCTTAGGGATCCGAAGGAAACGAGAAACGTACGGGGCGTGTTTGTTGTGGACCCGTCTTCTCTTTTGAGTTGAAAAAATCTGGGTTTCGACATGTGGCCGAATGGTGTGGGAGGGGGGGATCTGGGTCCGGGCGGATGCTTAGTCGACCTGTTTCTACCACTCGCGCAAGCAGACTGGGGGTGGCGGTCCTGACCAGTCGCCAGAACCAGCCACCAAAAGCAGCCAAGATCTGGTCGATGTGGGTGGGTGGGGGGGAGTGGGCGGGCTCCCGCGTCAATCTGCGATCTGCGAAGCAACACATAACATGACGGCCAACTTCACGTTGAAGAGCAGCTGGGTCGCGCAGGGGCACAGCCCGTCGCCGTCACCCAATGTCCTGGGGCCACGAGGGTCTTCACTCAGAGAGGTGGTTGCAGATCATCTTGAAATTCTGCAGCTTGGCCGGGTCCCAGACCTTCTGCTCGAGAAGGTCGTCCAACAGGCTCATGTAGAAGTGTCCGCCGTCCGGTGACTCCTCTAGCTGGATCGGAACTCCCGGGGCCAGCTTCACGAACACCGCTACTCCCGTGTCGCAGTCCACGACGGCTCCAAGCTTCTTCAGCACCTTCTTGGACACGAGGATCGGGACGTCCTTCGCGAAGCCGTTGATGGAGATGTCACCCTCCATGCCCCCGCCAGTGATGCCGAACTTCACCTGGCCGTAGGCACGCTCCTTCTCGCCGTTCCCGAAGCTGTAGACCAGCTGGTAGTCCCGGTTCACCTCCCGCAGCCTCGTGTCGCCGTACTTCTCCATGTTCTTGCGGGCCAGGATGTCGAGCGCACGCTCGCCGCCCATGGCCTCCGTGCAGCCTAGGTCAACGATCCCCTCGCCCTCCTGGATCGCCTGGTCCGCGAACATCGCCTCGCATCTCGAGTCCCCAGACTCCTGCTCAGCAACCATCGACGCCACCAGGTTGAACCTTAGCTCCTTCCTGCAGTTTGCCATCTTCGCGCCGGCCTTTGGCGGGCTTGCCGTCCTCGACTTGAGCCGGGGGTCGTGGCGATCCTGGCAGTCCTGCACCCAGTGAGCGCCGCAGCACTTCGCGCACTTCTTCTGCCCCTTGTTCGGCGGCAAGACCTGACCCCTGGCGCCGTACTGGGGAGGCATCGGCCGACGTGATCCCGCTTGGAATCCACGGCCAGCTCCCTTGCCATCAGGCCGTCCTCCACGGTAGAAGCCCCTGCTCAGTCGGCTGTCCGCCTGAGCCTCGCGGGCCTGGCGGAGGGTGCGCTGGGCGGTGTGGATCGCCGCCAGTGCTTCCGCCTCTTCGTATTGCGCGGCCAGGTACGCCTCGATGTCCTCGTCGTTGGCCTCCCCCTGGTCGGGCTCCTCCGCGAGTGGCTCCGGAGGTTCTCGATCAGCCGCGAAACTTCCCGCATCTGGTTCACCCTCGGCACCGTCTAGCCATGTCTGACCATCCTCTCCAAGCTGGGCCGCGTATGCCCTCGGGTACTTAGAATGTCCATCTCTCTCTGCAAGTCGTCGTCCTCCCAGCTGGAGATCAGCTTCTCGCGAATCAGGTTGGCGTCCAGCGAGCCTCCCGTCGCGGTCATGATTGCCGCGCGCTCACGTGAGTCGAGGCCAGACCGCACGAGCATCAGCCATCCGAGGACAATCGCTGGGAAACCTCCGGGATATTCCCGAGCTCCTCCTCGGCCTCGGCGTCTGGGTCAGCAGCACTCCAATCCTGGGATGTCTCCGTAGCGTCGTCAGGTAAACCGTCTGTGTACTCCCACTTCCATTCGAATCCATACCATGGCCATCCCCTTTCGACCTGGATCCATCTGAATGGTCTCTCCAGCCAACTCCCTGACGACGAGCTCGGGACTGGGACTGACTGCCCCAGTGCGCGCGCCAGCGCACGCCTCAGGTACTGGTAGCCTGTCTCGAAGCGGTCGGTCCATTGCTGCATGGGCTCCATCTTGCGGCGTTTCGTCTTGATCAGGAAGGTCTCCAGCTCCTGGCTCACGTCTGGGACGGCCTGGCGTGAGCAACGTCGCTCCAGCCACGCCAGGAGCCGCTCTACGCCACCAGCCCGTGATAGCCATCCCGTCTTGCAGCGCTCCACCGCCATTTCGGCCCGGCCCGTGAGCTTCGCCTCTAGCCTCGGGCCGCACAGGTACCGCTCCTCACGTGTAGTGTCTCCTGGTTCTGGAGGGCCTTCCTCCTGTAGGTTCGCCAAGTCTTTGGGTCTCCGTCCCAGCTTGGCACTTTCCCCCGATGATCTTCACTCATCGTAGAACTTCGTGTCGACCGCGAAGCTCCGCTACCATGCAAGTGGTATACGGAACTGCGCAGTGGTATCTTCTTCTAGCTCTTTTCCTTGAACTCCTCAAGCTCAAGCTCGACTCGTCGAGCTTCAATGTCTATCCGCGCCTCTGA